CCAATGGGGCATGGACCTGTTAGGCCCTTTTCCCAAGGCGCCCAGGCAAATGAAATACTTGATCGTGGCAGTCGACTACTTTTCCAAATGGATTGAAGCGGAACCTTTGGCCACTGTTACAGAAGCACAGGTGCGAAAGTTCACCAAGAAAAACATATTCACCCGGTTCGGCCTACCTGAGTCCATTGTTACAGACCATGGAAAGCAGTTCGATTGCAAGAAATTTGTGGAGTTTTGCGATGACAACGGGGTCGTACTGCGATTCTCTTCAGTGGCATACCCACAGGCAAACGGTCAAGCGGAAGCGGCCAACAAGAGTATTCTCCACGGGTTGCACACTCGATTAGCAGGCGCCAAGGGCAAGTGGGTGGAGGAACTGCCAAGCGTGTTGTGGGCGCGTCGCACAACCTACAAAACAGCCACTAGAGAAACACCCTTTGCCCTAACTTACGAAAGTGAGGTGGTCATCCCGGTGGAAGTCAACACCCCAAGCCACCGCGTTGTCCAGTATGACCCAACCAGCAATGGCGAAGCAAGAATCGATGAACTTGACATGACAGATGAGGTAAGGGAAGTAGCGGCCATCTGGCTGGAAAAGATGAAGCGCCAAGTGGCTCGGTACTACAACAAGAAAATGCGTGCGCATGGAATCACTGAGGGCGCCCTTGTTCTCAAACGTGACTTCCGCCCGGACGCCCATGAAGGGAAGTTAGCACCGAAATGGAAAGGGCCATATCGAGTTCGGGAGGTGGTGGGACCAAGTACGTTCAAGCTAGAACATACCAGCGGCAAAGGCGTAAAACGAACTTGGAATGCGCAGAACCTGCGAGTTTACTGGGAGGGCGCCTCCGTTCGATGAGGGCCAAGAAGGCAAAGGGCGATCGTAGTCAAGAGCATCGTTAGTGTTAGAGACAATTGTGTAAGGCGCCGTGTTGTGTCCAAAAGCGCCCCGTGTTGCAGCGCCCGATTGTGACCTAATGTTTTCAATTCTCCTTTCGTAAGCAGTAAAAGCGCCCAAACTTCGCGCCCAGAAATTTTGTGTAGAACGAAGCGCCCTAACCTTGCGCCTGATCGTGTGTTTTCAATTGGCAAGTGAGTAAGTAAAGCGCCCAATTTTGCGCCCACCAAAACAAAAGCGCCCACAACTCTGCGCCCAACGTCAAAACAATTACGCGCCCACATTTGCGCCCTCGAGACATGGCAATCAGTGATAAAGGAAATTTGCGCCCAAAACCACAAAGCGCCCACAATACTCGCGCCCAAACACAATGATAACACGATAAGTAAATAAGTCCATCAAGTATGGTCACAATGTCAAAAAGAACGTTTTTATCATACGCAAAAAAAAAAAAAAAAAGCTACATAGGAAAATGGGGCGCCCATCTGACATCACTCAGCACCTGAGTTGGCATCACCAGCATTAGGCGCTTTAGGAGAAGGAGAGACAGGAACAAAATCATGTGGAGGCTCCTCCGCATTTGATGGTTGGGGCGCATTCCCCGCTTCCGGTGGAGACTCCAACTTCCCAATCACATACTCGGCGATTTCGGTAAAATCCCAAGTAAGATCAGGATGATCCTTCACCAGCTTGCTGTGAAAGATCTGGAGGCCAGACAAAATAGCACTGGCGCTCATGTTCCTCCCAGTCTCGGACTCCTCGAAGGTATCCAAAGAGTGGCGCAAGTCGGTAATCTCTTTCCGCGCCTCTTTCAGATCCTTCTTGCAGTCCTTGTAGGCGTCCTGCCACCTCTTCTTTTCCTCTTTGAGGATGTCAATCTCGCTAGCCTGTGCGCCCGCCTCCTGTGCCAGCGCCTCCTTCTCAGCCTGAAGGGTGGCTGACTTATTGCGCTCTTCGTCGAGGGCGCCCTGAAGCTGCGACACTTGCAAGGCCGCATTCATTTGCGCCTCGTCGCATTCTTTCACAAGTTGCTCGCGACGCTCGGTCGAGCTATCAAGGTCGCGTTGCAATTGTGAAGTAGAAGAAGAGGCTTCGAGCGCCTGTCTTTTCGTTTCGGAGAGGCGCCGGGCGCCTCTCTCAGCAAAAAGAAGAATCTACACACACAAGATACAAAGAGTTAGTACTTATGCAAAGTTAAAGAAACCCAAAAATCAAGAACACAAACAATGGGAAACGTACCTTGGCGCCCACTTTCGCCAGTTCAGCAAAGAGGTGATCCCCATTCACCTCCGACGGCACTTGCCACATCTTGGCAGCCGTAATTGCCATGCCCATGGCACAGCCTCTGTCGACAGCCACCAGTGGGGAACACGGCAGCTCGATGCGCCCAACGTCGGCGCGTGTGGGCTGGAATATGGGGGGGCGCCCATCGGGGCCTACCCACTGCCCCTCTTCATTCAGACTGTATTCGAAGGCGCCCCCTCCCCCGCTTCGAGCGCCGACGCCCATCTTCTCTTTCCCCTTGTCAGCCTTCTTGCTGACATTGCCCAAGGGGGAGCCAGCCCGCTTCCCCCGTCTAATCAGGGGCTCGGGTTCCTCTTACCCGGAGTTCCCCTCCTGCTCCGTGGGCTCCGTAGTGGGCGCCTCAACGTGGGGCGCTTCCTCCTCCTCCGGTGCCGAAGACGCCACGCTAGCGGTCTTCGTGGTACCCCCCTTCACCGCCCTCTTCTTCTGCTTCTTGGGGGCAGCAATAGGCGCTTGCGGCTCCGGAGCATCCGCAACAGGCGCCTTGGGCCTTGGTGGTGGGGGCGCTCCTCCAGCCATGGCAGCAAGGCGGCTCTTCATGAGCTTCGCAATGCTCGTGAAGTCTGACCCTGCACGTCGCTAAGTAAGTTAGCACAAAATCAAAATTCATTAACAACAGGACAAGGCAATAAAGACATTGACGCAACATATGGGCGCCTACGGATCATCATTATAATACGCCTCCAAAATTGGAGGGCGATTCTCGGTCTTGCGCAAGTTTACGCGCGTCTCGCAAATCAGCGGGGGGCCTGCCTTTTCTGCGGGGGACAACTCGACGTCTGTATTAAACTCTTCAACACTCCCCAGCTTCCACTCTCTCAGGAAGGCGCCCCCACTCTCGAAAAACGAGTCCCGATATGCCTTCATGAAGAAGAACCCGTTAAACCAGCTGCGCCCCAACTTCGGGCACTTCTCCACAAAGGGATAAGGGTGCCCCTTCCTCTTTTGAAGCGACAAGCAGTTGTCCAGAGGCGCCATCTTGAAAAAGTACCGAAAAAGGTTGAAGGTAGGCTCCACGTTATGTTCGCGGCAGCGCAGCTTGAATAGGATGACCACCATGATCACTGAGGGAGACATGCGCCCCAATGGGCAGCCACAGGTTGTCAGAATACCCTCCATTATGCGATCAAGGGGGAACCGCAGCCCGAAGCGGAAGTATTCTTGATACACCCCTATCCACTTAGGCCCGCAGACGCCCACTCGTGAAATAGGGGAAGGAGGCGCATACCACCAGTCACGGGGCAATTGGAGGCTGGTCACCAGCTCATGAACACGAGCCAAGGTGACGGTAGAGGTGTGCTGTGGGCCCGCTATGTCGAAAGGCAACGAGTCCGTCTCCGTAGGGAGGTGATCGGGCGGAAAAGAATTCTCCCACACAGATATCTTGTAGGACCCATCGGCGGGCATGAAGCCCGGAGTGGAGGCGCTTGATGGACCCGCGGACGTCGACGCAGGCGCCCTCTCTAAACCAATAAACGACCCAGGCGCAATACGGCCGCGGAGTAAGTGACGCCCTACCCTAGAGAGCTAGAATAAAAATAAGGAAAGCAATTAATAGAGCAAGGAAATTCCTTACCGCTTCGACTTGGGCGCCTTGCCTCGCCACTCGCGTTCGAGGCGCCTGGTCTAGCCTCTTCACCCGCAGTGGGGGCGCCCTGGCCGACAACCTTGTCTGCTTGTGAAGACATTCTTGGACGAATAGAAGGAAAGGCTGACGAAAGCAGAAGAATCTAGAGAGATGTCAGGAGAGAATCTAGAGAGAAGTTAGAGCAACAATCTTAGAGAGATGCGAGAATGTGGAAAGTGACAAGGACTGAAGGGAAGAGGGATATTTAAAGGAACGGAGGAGCAGGGGGATAGACGCGCGTTGCGCGCCACGTGTCATCATCAAGGGCGGGCTTTTGAGCTCCCCCCCACCTTTTCCTTTTTGTTGGAATTTTGGCCAGACTAAAAAAAAAAAAATCGCCAAAATTCAAACAAGAAAAACGTGGGGGCCAATATCAAACGCCCGCCCATGAGGGGGGCATAAGGGATTGAGGCGCCTTAAATCTGGCGCCCGAAAAGAAGCCGAATAAGGGCGCGTAAGGGATCAAGGCGCCTTATAAAAAAGGAGAAAGGGAAAGAAGGCAAAAAAGACAAAACAAGGAGGCCAAGGCGCTCAGGATACTGGGCGCCTGCGGACCAAAGGAGGGACAAAACAACAACCGAGTCAGCTAGGCGCTCAGCAGCAGAGCCATGAGCACCTAGCTGGGGGGGCAATTGTTGGGGGTATTATGAACAAGGCCCAATGGGCGGCAACTTGGGCTCCCAAACAGCCCAAATTGGGGGGCAAGGCCCAAGTAAAAGGGAGGTCACATGAAGACAAGTCACTAGAAGGCAAAGGAGGCCAGACTGTCATGTGGTCCAGCGTCTGCGGGCGCCTGTCACCTGCCAGGAGTCTGACAAGGTGGTTGGGATGTCTGGCCAGAAAGGGACAAAAAGCATTGAATGAAGGCAGGGAGGTAGAGAGGATCAACCTCGAACTCTGGTAAGTATAAATAGGGGCAGTTGGTAGCATTTACACAGGTTGGACTCTCTCTCACTAAACTTGGATTTGGAGACACTTTTCTCTTCCACGTAACTAACTTGGGCGTCGGAGGATTAACGGGCCCAGGCGCCCCCTCCTTGTTCGTGTGTGCAGATTAGCACCTTGTGAGAGGAGAAATCGGAGGGCCGTACGAGAGTAACGAGTCTCAAACAATTTTAATAATTCATAGGATTGTTAAATTATATATCTCACTCTATATGAAGTTTAACACGTAGATTATGTGAGCAAATATGTTTTATTTAATTTTAAAAAACAATTATGTATCATAGATTGCTTCAATACTGTGTAATTTTCACAAATTAAATTTTATTAACTAAATAATTTGATACCACTAAGTATAACATAAAATTAGTTAATATTGAACACTTAACTATTATTATTATTTTCTTCATCTTGGCATTAATCGCATGTATCATGTATTACATACAAAACGAATATATCAAATACGAGTCAAGATTTTATTAAGCAAACTAGCTCGCAACTCGACTCATTAACGAGCCAAGCTCAAACTCGATTCATTTGTTAACGAGCCGAGCTCAAACTGAGAAAAACTCGACTCGACTCGGCTCATTTGCGGCCATACTTGGAGTCAGTGAAGCAGGCTCTCATATACGGCCCTGTACCGTGTCTAAATCTAAATGCTTGTAAATGAGAACAGTCTAAATTAAAGGATGTTATTGTAGTTAAATTGAAGTCTAGGTACTAAAGAGTAATACGTTCTTTGCACATATATTTTCCTTTCGCTCGTTACCGAAGAGTGTTCATCGCGTATTTGTTTTTGCATATAGCGAGGGAAGGAGTTCAGATCTAGGAGAAAGGAAAGCAATGGCGACGGCACCCGATCACCTCTTCGTTCTGCGCAACAATTTCTACTTGGGAGCCTTCCAGGCTGCAATCAACAACAGCGACCTTCCGAATCTCTCCCCGGAGGATGCCATCGAGCGAGACTGCCTCGTCCACCGCTCTTACATCGCTCTTGGAAGCTATCAGGTTCGTTTTCCTATTGTGAATTATCTGTTCGTCTCTTCTGGATAGAATCTTCGCCAATCGATTCATGATGTGCGGCGTGGACAATTTCAGCTTGTGATCAGCGAGATCGATGAGAGCGCAGCCACTCCTCTCCAGGCCGTCAAATTGCTCGCCTTGTATCTTTCCAGCCCTGAGAACAAGGTTGGTAGCTTCGCTGTGTAAAGATTACTCTCTCTTCTCCAAGATTTGTGCCTGTTTGGTGGCTTTTGGACCGAGATCTATGTTTGATATGTTCTTGCCTTTCCTGCATTGAACGAACTACCGGGAGCTGCTTATGGTCTCATTGATAATTGTCTTGAATTTTGATTCGAAGTTTGATCAAATAGGAGTTCTCTGAGTTTGTCATGAGATGGTGGCGATCTGAATGTCTTTTGCCTACTCTGGTAGAATATGTTTCTGGGTTGGCTAGATATTCATCTAACGGACTACAAATCATTGTCTGTAGTTTTGATTACACTAGAAGAGCTATATTAAGGTGTCCATGTGGTAGATCTTGCAACACCTACTGCCCATTCTCTCAATCAATACATAAGTTGCATATTTACGAGAGTAGAAAGAAATTGAAATGTGCTTCTATTGTAGCTTGTTTTATTGTTGGCTGAATCATGAGTTTTAGGTTGTCTGTTTTAGATCTCGAACAGTCGTTGTTCGTTCTATGCCCCTAACTGGTTTATTGCACAGCAATCTGTAATTTCAAGCTTGAAAGAGTGGCTGGCTGATTCGGCTATAGGAAGCAATGCCATTTTAAGGCTGATTGCTGGAATCATATTCATGAATGAAGAGGACTATAATGAGGGTTTGAAGCACACACATGCTGGAGGCACCATGGAACTGTGAGTTATACTAGAGCTTCACAATTTACCTAATTCAGTCTATTATCTTATGCTTTTATATCTATGTGTAGAATATCTGGATATTCTTGAACTGGCATGGTTATCCTTATTGACAGTAGATTAGGCAGATGAGAATGGTGATTGATTTAGATTCCATCCAGTTGGATAACTAATATGAAACATTATGTTCATACATCCATTAGAGGGAGATCAGACATTATGCTTAGTTGTTATTCCTGACCCATGGCGTGATAATATTTCAGGCATGCATTGAATGTGCAAATATTCATCAAGATGCACAGAACAGATTTTGCTGAGAGGCAGCTGAGAGTCATGCAACAGATTGATGAGGACCATACCCTTACTCAACTCGCAAATGCCTGGCTGAATTTGGCAGTTGTAAGTTCTGTGTTCTTTTGGTTGTCTAATGACTCAGGGTTCATTAAAATCATCACATCTGACTATTTGAAGGATTATATATAATACTTTCTCTACGTTAAACCAGGGTGGTTCAAAGATACAAGAAGCACTACTCATATTTCAAGATTTCTCTGAGAAATATCCCATGACTGGTTTGATATTGAATGGGAAGGCTGTTTGTTGCATGCACATGGGCAACTTTGAAGAAGCAGAGGCATTGCTTCTTGAAGCACTAAACAAGGCAAGTTCATCTATGTCCAGAATGATGATGGTGTTAAACCTCAGTTTCCTTGAGCCTTAGTATCTTAATTTTCTTGGGGAGCCTTGTTTTTTGCTAGCATGCCCTGAGACCTTCAGGAATGTAATGTTTTGTGCATTTTGGTGATTGGTGCAGGATGCAAAGGACCCAGAAACCTTAGCAAACTTGGTTGTATGCAGTCTTCATCTTGGCAAACCATCTTCGCGTTATATCAAGTAAGTAGCTCTTTGGCCACTTTACTGGATTAGGGTTTTCACCGATTCATCATAAGGCACTGGCTGATTGATAATCAGTTACTGATCTTTTAAGCAATAAAACCTGTTTGGTAATACATGTTCTGAACACCAAACTAATTTCTGCATGACGTGGCAAGTTGGAGCATCATACTCTTAGTTGTTTTTTTTACTTTCATTTAGAGCAAAAAGACAGGTCAATGACTTTGATTGCAATGATTGTGTTGCAGCCAATTGAAGATTGCACATCCAGAGCATTTGCTCATTAAGCGTGTATCAACTGCAGAAGATAGCTTCGAAAGAGCAGTTCAATCAGTTGCATGAGTTTCGAGGTGAAGAAGTGTCCTAAGAGCCAAGCCATTCTTCTGCTTTTTGGAAAGTGTCCTTATTTTTGGGGGGTTTGTAACATAACGCAGACCGGAATGTGCTTTACCAATCGACTTATATTTTCGTCATATACCGATGATTGCTTGCAGTCTCGATTACATGTGTTCAACATTTGAAATATCAGTAGTTCTCCACATTCCTGCATGATTCTTTCAGTGCTTGGCTTGTATCTCACATTGTTAATGTCCATGCTCTTAGACATGATAATGTCCAATAACTAGTGATTGGCAATTTCTGAGTTTTCATGCTCAGGAACTGGTGATGTATTATGCAAGGTCATCAGCAGGTATTGAATTTCGGAAACTTTTAGTCGATCATAACGAAAATTTATCCAGGAAATAAGAAAAACCCCCCAAATTGTGGGAATAAGGAAAGCACCCAGCCACCAACAACTAAGACCTAAATGCCACTCAACTGCAGCAGTACCATCAAGTTCTTGTCGTCTCACAAGAACAAGCAAGATGAACAAACCGATGACAGTAAAAACTCATGCGTGAAATACAATTGTAATGTAAGGGAAACATACATGACGCTGGAAGTGGTAACAAGCCTGGCTTTGGTAATGAACCCATCAAGAACAGAACAACCAGCCAAGTGGTAAAACTATCCTTCAGAAATTTTTATGTAAGCAAAGTTAGCAATGTTCTCTTGTCACTCCACCTTTATTTGCCCCTTCGTACTAGTTAAAGATAGGACCAATGTATTCAAAATCACGTTTTACAACTTATCAGTTTACACTTTTACAATTATAGGTCACCAAAACGCTTCTACGTAGAATAACGCATTTCACTTACAAATGAAGTCACAATCTACGCATTACAACTTAAGAGCTAACATTTTTACGCTTCTAACTCACCAATACGCTTCTACATAGAATCCCGCCTTTAGGACAACAAATAGTTTATATCTACGTCCCTGTAGCCATTGTCATCACTGCCATTTCTGTTTGTGAATAAACAAGGAGAAGATGGATGCAGAATGAACTGTAGAAGACCTATTATATATTGGATGAGCCTGAGGAAACATAAGCATCATCATCGTATTATTAGACTATTACCTGTTCCCGTACAAGTAATGAATCGGCAACTCCTACATCTCCTTCTCTCTATATGTAAATCGCATGACACCAAGTATAAAAAAAAAAAAATTTAGGAAAAAAATATAGGAATAAAAAAGCCTCTCCTCCCAATTGAGAGAGAACCCCTCCTCTGCTCTAAGAGAAATGACGAATAAACAGCATTGCAACCCAGGTTGGTGCTGTGGTATGGAGGAGAGGGTTATCTCTTTGAAGTTACATGTTGCTACCCATTGTATTGCAAGTGCTGCTCGACTGAGTGGGAGTGCTTCAAGAAGCCATCACTGAAGGGGTCCCATACCCGTCTCGGTGAGCCTTCTGCCATCTCCATGCAACCTGCAAACTCTCTTGCAGGTCAGTGTAACGTGCCGTCCAGTTCAGCTCATTCCTGATCTTAGTAGGGTCACTGTACACCTCAGCATAGTCCCCAGGCCTGCGTGGCAAATAATCAACCTTGATGGCCACTCCAGTTGCCCTCTTACAGGCCTCCACAAACTCTTTCACTGATCTACCTGAAATAGACAGAAAAGATCTAGTCTGAAATATGCTTGGAAAGAAGATTTTTCTTTTTTTGTCTATTTTTGACACAATAGGTACAACAAAATCCTACCTTTCCCTGTGCCGACATTGTAGATTCCAACTTTACCGGGTTCGGCCTTTTCCAGAGCCTTCACATGAGCATCCACAAGATCAGTTACATCAATGTAATCTCTTATACATGTCCCATCATGTGTCTTGTAGTCTGTTCCTTTAACCTGTGAATGGAAGAATATAGGGGGGAGTGTTGATGGGAGTGGGACATTCCAAAAACATCACAACGACTACGAGACTACTAGGCCTAGGGTATTGAACTACACAGGATATCACATGATTTACTTACCTTCAACCCTGGCATGATTCCGCGGGCTGCATCGAAACAAGCACCAGAAATCCTTCCATGCTCACGCAGCTCAGGCGGTGGAGACTCCCCTAATCTGCCTTCTGGGTCTGACCCAATTACATTGAAGTATCTGAAATGCAACATCAACTTGCCATCTTATTCAGAGCGAAAAGGAAAATCCAAACAAGAAAAATGAAGTCACATCGTATTCATCGCTTATCTCGGCCAGACTATGCTAGGAGTAGTATGAACTTGGCCTAAAGCCATTTACGTTGCAAGATTATTATTCAACATTCGAAGAAGAATTATTCGATCAACAATCAAATGGAAGATTTGAACAATGTTGTCTTACAAAGGAAGGTGGTAACGTTATCAAAGAGAATCCGACAACAAATTCCAACCAAACATGCAAGGGGAAACCCCATAAGTAACAGAAACTTAGAAGGTCAAACACTATTGGGGTTGCAATAAAGGAGATTTCAATGAGTGGTAGCATTTACTGAAAGGGAATACAAACCTCAAAATCATAACTGCCATGTCTGATGTCTTTGAAAAATCAAGGATCATGTCTTCTGCCATCTTTTTGGCTTTTCCATAGGGATTGATGGGGACCTGAGTAGATAAATCGGTACGTACCAATGTTAATGTGGTATGCACTTACTTCTTTCCATGTCAATGGGACTCCCATCTAGAACATATAGTTCTGCACATATTATACTGGCCAATTGACAAATCAAGACTATGAGTGTACCTGTGTTGTTTCTTCAGTTATAGGCATCTTTTCAGGTTCCCCATAGGTTGCACATGTGCTAGAGTATATCAGAGTCCTCACATCATGCCTGGCCATCGACTCCAACACCACCAAGGTATTTGATGTAATATTATGGTAATACCTGCAGTGATAACAGTTAGTTAAATAAGGTTTTCTCTTCAGTATCGTTGTTTGGACATACATCATCAACATTATGTTTGAAGCTTCAGGGTAACTTAAGCATGTTAAAAGTGCTGTCCATGCAGATTGTGCAAATAGGGGACAAAATTAGGTAACCCAACAACCAGTCACCCAACCATAGACATGTTCCTAGTCCTAATGATTGGACAGTCTGATCAAATATTTGAACAAAACATTAGTCCTTCAGCAAATCCACCTTCTCGCATTTACTTGAGTCATTTGAAGAGCAGTAAAGGGTAAGCAAACCTCAAACTATGTCACAGCTGGCTGCAATTACTTTCTATAATCTTAGATGCCTCACTCGGCAGAGAAAAATTAGAAGTTCCATATCATGTAAAAAAGCAACTAGCTGACGGAAGAACAAAATTTGACAGGCCAACTTCAGAAAGCAAAGGATACTTACTTAAGAGGATACATTGTACTTTCCCCAACATATGCAACAGCTGCAAAATGCATCACTGCATCAAAAGCATTCTCTGAAAATATTTTGTTAACCTGCAAATTTCGGTGAAGGAAACAACTAACCACATCAAGTTCCTGTGACCAAAGCCCAAGTCGAAAAACTACAAAAGGAAAGCGAGAAAGGATACCGCTTTGGCATCTCCCAAGTCGGCATATATAAATTGAAGCCTCCCACGCTCTGGGAACAGTTCTTGTAGGATTTTAACTGCACCAATGTTCCCACGAGAAAGGTTGTCCTGCCATAGCAGATATACAGAAACTAAGATTACAGATATGATAAATGTAGGACAAAGAGGAGATAACCATCCCGAAGACATGAACTTACAACAATGGTCACCCTGTAACCATCTTTCAGAAGACGTAATGTAGCATGTGAACCGATATAGCCAGCTCCACCGGTGACAAGAACATGAGTAACTCCTTGTTCACGTAATGAGAACTGGACAATAAACAACAAAGAAATTAGAAAATGCCTCACTTAGTTATCAAATTAAGCAATATACTACGATGACCGCAACGGCCAACAGCAATATCAGCAGAACGGAATGCAGTTATGTAACGAGACGAGAAATACTGGGGATGTGTAGTTGAATGAGGATTTCTTGAGAACAAGTATGCACACAGTCGTCAAGATAGCGGCCAAAGCAACCTTTCCCACGAAGTTTCTCTTCCTTTTGGGATCTGGGTAGTCCATGCCTGCAAAATAGTTTCCACGCACCCCATAACTTTCTTCCAACTCCGCAACATTCCGACAGTACAGGTAATGGCAATGAGTATTAAAACGACCAATTGGAAATGGTAGAGAAAGAAAACGAACCTCCTAAATTCACAGATCTACTGGGCCTAGACTGAGTTCTGGTCCTTCCAATACTTTGCATCTGGAGAAGACGCACACTCCTAACCTCTCAGCAGCAAAATCCAAATGACGCCTCTGTTCTGCCAATTTATGAGGCACGACAAAATCTCTGACGGACACTATCCAGGCAATATCTCTTGCTTCAAGTCTGCAGCAGCAAACGGAAAGCCAAACCATAAGCAACAAATTTATGTAAAACAAGAAAGGGAATGATTAAAATGAGGAGAGCAGATTCAAATTCAAAAGGAAGAGCTGGGCCCCAAATCATTGAACAGAGAGACAGAAAAACTGACTACCAAAAAAGCATCGAAAGTTACTCTTCTGGGGATGAAAGGAGAAACAGAAAACATCTCAAATAAGTGGAACTAAAAGGAAGCAGCTTCCAGATCCACAGAAGAGCCATCAAACCCAGAAAAGGGAGAAGGGGGACAGAAAAGTAAAGGTCAACCTAAAAATCCAAGCTCGAGCTTCAACTCAGAAACAAACACAACGAGAAGCAAAGAGAGGAAGAAAGGGATACAATAGCATTGCAGGCTCATTTGTAGGCATGTAAGGCAAGGCTTTAAAAATGAGAAAATTCTGATGAACCGCACTTACCCCGTTTTCCCAACATCAATACCCTGATATAGAATTTGACAAAAAGGAAATTCCCCACGGGAAAGTAAGCTGATCAAATTTACGGAATGCAGGACTTACGGGAAACGGATTGGAAGAGGAAGAGAACAGTTCGGCGACGGCGAGATCCAAAAACAACACAGCAAACTTTGAATTGCATTGAAACAAAAAATCAAATCAAATCGCTATCACCTCTCAGGCGCACCAAATCAAACACCTGGCGGGCAAAGCAATGAAATTTGCTTTCAGCCAGAACTAGACCACCTCACCAAAATTGGAGCGTAACCCAACTCCTTAAAAGGGGGATAAAGACAAGGGCAGATGAAAAGGAAACACAATATCCCTCAAAATCATTTAAGAAGCTCCCGGGAAGATCCACGCATTCCAGAAGAGGAACGAAAGAAACCTAACAACGAATCGGGAAAGCGAAAGGCAGCTAAAGATACAAACTGGGAAAGAAAGAGTACCATGAGGTCTGGCAACGCAGACTAACTTTACCAAAATGAAACCGAAGAAGGGGAAGAATGGCAATGTCAGAAGAAGAATCGAATGCAAGTAAATAGTACCGAAACAGACGCAGGTGAGGGGCGGAAATTGAGTAGAATCCACGAAGATCGAAAGCGTAAAGAAGAGAAAGGGAAGCAGGCGGAGAGGCGAAGTTGAGGGGGGTGGCAAAGGGAGGAGAGAGAGAGAGAGAGAAGGGCAACAGAATTTGGTGCAGGGGTGGGTGTGAACGTTGACGGGGAAAGAAGAAGAGAGTGGGAGCGAAGATAGGGAGAAGAAAGAAAGAGAGAAAACGTACCAGGACGTGTTAGGGGAGACCGGTTCCTGGTCCAGAGGATGCGTTTTCGAACGTGAACTGTTGATTGGGAAAGAAAAAATTATAACAGAAGCAAAAACAAAGGAAGCCCGAAGAAATACGCAGGAGAAGAAGAGGGAAAAAGAAAGGGGAGAGGGAGAAAAGAGCAAGAAAGAGACGCAGAGAGTTTGTGCTCTGCGAGAATGCCTCGGAGAAGTACATGTTGTCAACCGCGATGGACCCAAAATTTCTTCAATTTCGTCAATTTTCACCTCTTTGTTTGTTAATCCGGTATCCCAAATAATTACACCTTAAATTTCGTCAAGTGGCTAGCATATATGGAAGTACAAACAATATAAAATGGAAAAACAACCGGGTTAAATTTGAAGGCTTCGTCCTTATAGAGAGGTTTTGTCCAAAAGTCAACTCAATTGTTTATTAGACATACAAACATTGCAAATATGGTAGACAAAAATGACAAACAATACCGACAAACTATACAAAATGGAAAAACAATCGGGTTGACTTTAGAGAATCCGCCTCTATATAGAGGAGTTACATCCAAAAGTCAACCAGGTTGTTTTTTAGACATAAAAACAATTCAACCAGTTTTGTGGAGATGTTGCTTAACACGTGATTTTTTTGGTGGTTACATTTGGTGATATGTTCAATTGGTCATCAAGCACGCTATGTCAAAGAACGCTACGCACTCTCATGCAGGGACTGTCTTGGAGGAAGTTCACTCCTTTTTCTCATTTTTTGAGTCAGTATCGGGTCGTTTTGCTCCTCAGAGCTTTCACAGAGCTGCCCATGTAGCGGCTAAGCATGCTATCTCATCGGGAATCTGCTTGCTTACGGATTACCGTCTTTTTTCTGGAGTCCTCCTTGTATCTGAGTCGAGTCTTTGTCCCATGCCCTCTAGGCTTGCCTTGAAAAAAAAAAATATGGTGGACAAAAATGACAAACTATACAAATGATTCAAACGGGTAAATTCCAAGTTTTGTTACTGGGTTTACTAAATGTGTCATGTTTTGACACTGAAAAAAATTAATATCAATATGCTCACTAAGTTTAGTAAAACATGTCATGTTTGGTCGCTCTCTGTTAGTCTCCATCTAACTCCGTTAATGCAGTCCATTAAGTGCTGATGTGGCAAACAGAATCGCTTAATTAGCCGGATTTAACCCAGAAAACACCAAACTCGACCCGCCACATCATTAAAACCCTAACCCAACCCAAACAGTTCATTGATCTTGACCCTTCTCCACTTCTCTCATCCTTCTCCTCTGCCTTCTACTTCTCCCTCTCTTCCTCCATCGAGAAAACCTGAAATTGAATAAACTAAGCAATCAATCAAAGAACCCATAGCTCGATTTACCTCGTCCAACGTCATCCTTGCGGCACCCAGCTGCCGCATCTAATACAACCCTAGGGAGGGTTGTTTGGATAAGAAGTCACGCAGCCAAGGTTAATCTCGAATAAATTTGACCACGTCAAACAAGCACTCAAGAACAGAGGAATTTGGGATGTGTTTGGTACGGGAATCTCGTGCAACTTTCAAAAGGGAAAGAGGCTCGATGATTATCACTCGAGGCTTGGACACGATCAAAGTGTGTAGCTGATCGATACAAGCTAACCAACAACCTAGAATCCACTAGATCACTCAATCAAACTCACATAGCGAGAAGATAGATGAATCAAACTAGGGTTTGTATTCAATTTCGTAAAAGTAGTGATTACAATGCAATAGCAAGCTTAAATAGAACCTATCTACGTTTACAAGTCAAGAAAGAAAACCCAATTGTAACCAAAACACGAAAACAACTCAATTATTCCAAAGAGAACTCTGAATCCTAATCCGAGAAGGATTCAGATTGCTTGCTGGCAGTCTTCCCAATCAAGGTTTCATACGATCTTCCACCTCTTCGTTTGAAACCCTCAAAGAGTCATTTCGTTCAGCCAATACCTTCCCTCCATAGTAGGAAACACCTACTTTCATGTGGAACAAATCCCTGGTTTCGGATCTCCACCATTCTTCTCGAACGAAGCTCCAAAGTCAGGCACCCAGCTTGCCCTCCATACTTGGTGAAATTTGGCCAGTTTTCCGGTTGTGGCATAGACATTTGAGAGGCTTCGAAATTGACCCTCCTGGCCCTTTCTTGAGCACCCAAGCTGACCAATGTAAAGAGGTGCACTCCATCTTCAAAACAAGCCTTTAGAATCCCATTTCTATCCGACTACCATAATGCTAGCACAACCAATGAGGAAAATGCGGATGAGTGAAAGAGGGGAGACGTGTAGGAACTCCATGATTTTAGATTGTATTTTTTGTTGTTGTTAAGTCTTAAAGACGATTTGGTTTGAAACAACTTTGATTGCAGATTGATATTATGTGGTTTTCGATTTTAGGTATGTGTGAAAAATTATGAGGTGTTTTATTGTATTTCTTGTTAGTGTGTTAAGTTGTTATGTTATAAAGTTATGGGTCCTTGCTATTATGATTTAGGACTGATTTGTTGGTTTCAGACGCAATTTGTATGAGCAAACAAACCACCCACATCGACATACATAAGCAAAAACGTCCAAGGTCATAGGCTGATTTTCTCGTATTCGATCGATCTTTTACTGTATTCGGTCGGTTGATAAACCAACACTTTTGATCTTCATTACACTTCAAAGGAGATGGATAAATTGATATAACACTTTACTGTTGTATGTCGACGACCTGTTTCTTTAAATGGTCGACCAATTCGGTAATGAGTGCCATCAAGTGGTCGACCTCCCTACGTTTACGGTCCACCAATTTGATGACTACAATGAAAAGGCCGACCGATGTTTTATTGTGGTTGACCATTAATGTGTCAACTTAACTTAAAACGGTCGACCACTATATTGTAATGGTTGACCGTGAGTTTTCATCATAGTGACCACCTTAGTGTATTAGGTCGACCACAGTTAGAAATAGGTCGACCGAAGTACAAGTTATGGTGACTTGCAAGACACTATAGATGTACCCAAACATTTAGTTTTATTTTAAATTAAGCTCAATACATAAATCCCACACCAATTAAACGAGAATGTATCCTTAAGTTATAAAGTTATTTCTAAATACGCTAATGGCTGGTGATGTGATTATTAGATGTTGTATGACAATTTATCTAATTCATGACTAGTTTGTTTGTTATTTTTTGATTATTTAGTATTTTATTATTTATTGGCCAGTATTTTACTGGTAGAGTTACCGTATTACTTCGGTACGGTAGTCTAAACTCAACTTTCCCAAGAAAAGGAATTCAAGAAAAAAAGAATTAACAAAAAATCAAAATGTTTGCCAAGGAAAAGGATTGAGAAAATATATACAATAATGTGAAAGATACCCCATACACTTCCCTATCATTAAAAATTTATATATTATTAATAAAATTAAATAAATATATTTTTAATAATTTTGTTGTATACTACTTTTTAATTATATTATAATAAAAAATTAATTATTAATCATATATAATAACACTCTCATAATAAAGTTCTTCTAAAATAGATACTTTGTACGCTCTCACTCTACGAACTGGTTATCTAAATCAAACTACCCAAACTACCCAAGCTACCCAAACTAGTTATTCTGCTAACTTGAAAATTCGTTAGTATATACTAACTAAAAGCAAAATGTATGAACTAATATCCAAGTCTACTGAGTATCTGGATAACACATGCTAGTATTCAAAACATCACAAACTAGTATCCAGATAGCAGATATCAACTAATATCCACAATCAACCAACTAGTATTCAGTATGGATACTCTTATGTGTTATCTGGATACTAATTATGTGCTGTATAGATACTATTATATGTTGTCTAGATATTAGTTTGTGAATTTGGGATAGTAGTTGATTCATGATAGATATCAGTTAGTAAACTTTGAGGGTGTGCCTACAGTGACATGCATGTCACGGTGACTTGCACTTTCCGGTCGACCTCATATAGGATCCGGTCGACCTCATTTAGGATTCGGTCGACCTCATATAAGATCTGGTCGACCTCATTTAGGATTCGGTCGACCTCATATAGGATCCGGTCGACCTAATCTGTTGTTTCAGTGTAAAAACAGTTCACGGTGCTTACTTTGGATATTCATATCATACAATTGGCTAGATGGAAATTGAAGACTAATGACTTGTTTTGAAGCTGGAGTGTCCCTCTACATATTGAAGTGATTGATAGCTCGATAGGAAGTCCAGAAGACCATTTTTGAACCTCATCAAAAGGCTATGCCAAAACTGGGAAACTGCCTAGAAATGGCTAAGTCTGGAAACGTGTTTGTGAAGTCTATTTTTGAGCTCAATTCGAGAAGCATGAATGCGAGTCGAGTCCAGGAGCCTCTGCCACGTTAAATTAAGTATGTTTTTATACAAATTCAAGGAATTGGATGAAAGATTGGATATCTTTAAGGCTTCAAACAAAAGGGTCGAAGTTGCTACGAAGGCTGTTTTTCTGGCAGACTTTGAGCACAAGCAAGCCGCCAGAAAAACAGCCTTTGTAGCAACTTCGAGCCTTTTGTTTGAAGCCTTAAAGATATTGAATCTTTCATCCAATGCCTTTCCTTTGTATAAAAAAATATGTAATTTAACGTGGTAGAGGCCCTTGGACTTGACTCGCATCCATGATTCTCAAATTGAGCTCCAAAGTAGGCTTGACAAACACGTTGCCAGACTTAGCCATTTTCAGGCAGTTTCCCAATTTTGGCATAGCCTTTTGGTCAGATTCAAAAAAGGTCTTCTGAACTTTCTATTGAGCTCCCAAGTACTTTAATGTGTAGATGGACACTTCAGCTTCAAAACAAGCCTTTAATCTCCAATTTCCATCTAGCCAATTGTAAGATATAAATCTCCAAAGTAGGCACCATGAAACTGTTTTTACACTGAAACAACTGATTAGGTCGACCTGATCCTATATGAGGTCGACCGAAAAGTGCATGTCATCGTGACATTCATGTCACCGTAGCAAAGTCCAAACTTTGAATACTGTGCTCTCTAGATATTTTAGTACTTGAATACTAATTTATGTATTTTGGGTATCAGTTAGTATCTGCTAACAAATCTTCAGGTTAGGATATTAACTTTTCCCAAACTAACCGGCCCTAGTTATAAGTTACAACTTACAACTGATACAATAAAAAGAAAATGCAAAGCGTGTGAAGGAATCCACAGATTGGGGAGGATAACGGTTAAGGGAAACAACGGAGTGTTAACTGATTGGCAATTGACCGAC